CGAACCGTTTTTTCTTTTATTTCCTAAAAAGGAAATTTTTACGAATTTTGTTGGTTGTGGGAAAGAGTTTTTTTTTTTTGGTTTAATTAAAAAGATCTTATTCTTTAAGTTTTAAAGAATATATTAAAATTTTTATATTATTTAAATAAGTTTTTATAAAGTTATAATAAAAATATTAAAGGTGGTTTTTTTGTCCCACACTGTATATAAAATATGAATGAAAATTAAAATTTTACTGTGGAAAATTTTTTAAAAAATTAAATATTAAAATAAATAAAAATTTTAGACTTATAAAAAATTATAAAAAACTTATTATTATATTTAATAAATGTTATTAAGATTGGTTTGTTTTTTTATTATATAAATTTATTTTAAAAAAATCTTTAAACTCTTTAAAAACTTTATGTTTAATAAAAAATTAATATTTTTTAATAAAATTTGACTAAATTTTAAATTAAGTTAATTATTAAATAATTTTTTATACTTAATAAAAAAAATAATAATAATTATATTATTATTATAACTTTTATTTAACAAAAAATTTTTTTTCTCTAATCAGATTGCATTTCACTATGTTTATTAATTTTTCATAAAAATAAAACAATAATATATTAAACCTTAAAGCTTTATACTAGAGCTAAACTGTGTATAATGCAAAATACTTATCAATAAGTTATTTTTAAATTTGTATATAATCCTTGAATCCTTAATATCAAGACTACCATATTACCTAAATAATTTATCTATTTACTAACTATTTCACTACAAGAAAGTTGATTTATTAAGTTATTACTGCATAACATTAATTATTTTAAACTTTTCAAATCTTAACTCTCTAAATATAATTGTAAAGAATGATAAAAACTATTTTTTTTTCAAGATCACTCCTTAACCTTAAGAAAATTATAATTAAAATATATTTAAATTGTTACCTTAGTACAAACCTATGGTTTTAAAAGATAAAAAATTTTTTATTTTTTAAGAAAATAAAAGAGAATTGGAAAAGTAGTTGAAAAGTATGTTCTGGTAAATAAAAATCTTTCAGTATCAACTTCAGTTCATCAGAATAAATTTTTTATCATTACTTGCAGCTGGGTAAATTATTTAATTTAATTTATTTTTAAGAAAGATAAACAATATAATTGAAATTGTTGTCTAGTACCTTTTTGCAATAGTTTTTCTTATACTTAAAGCAAAATTATTTTTCTTTTAATAAAAGAAAAAAATTATTGAGATTTTTTTAAATATTGTTTTTAAGATTGTTAATAGTTAGTAAGACTAATATATGTAAGTATAGAGAAGAATTGAAACTGTTTTTTGGATTTTGTAAAGGAACAATTCAGAACTTGTAAAAGTTAACAAAAGAGAGATGAAGATGTTTTGAACTAATTTAGTGATTTATATATTGCTTGAGTTAGTTTTTTTTTAAACCATAGAAAATAAGCCATTAGTTGGATTTATTATAATGATATTTAGAAAAATATGAAGTGGGTTTTAGGAGTTTGTTTTTGGAAATAGAACTTTCAAAAGTATTTGTTAATTTTTTTTCTTTTTTAAATTTTGTTTATTATTATAAAAAGAATTTTTTAAAAAATATATTTAATATTATAACAAGTTATTATTTTTTATATTAATTTAATAAGTATTTAAATTATAGTATTTATTTTTAATTAAATAATTTAGTAAATATTTTTTTATAATATTTAGTTTTTATTGTAAGCTTTTAAAAAATTTAATTTTAATTTAATAATAAATTATTTTAATAATTACTTATTTCAAAAAGACAATTAAAACAATAATAAGTATTAATGATTGAAATAATTTATAAACAACAAGTTTGTAATATAAGTTTTTTAAATATTTTTTAATAATTTTAAAAAATAGAAATTAAATAATATATCTAATTAAAGGTAATATAGATTTAAATTTTTTTTTTCTATGGTATTTTATTTGTTAAATATAAATATCATTTTTAATTTCTTTTATTTCAACTTTATTTTAATTTTTTTTAATTAAAAATAAAACTAAAAAATATAATACTAATATTAATGATAGGTTAATATATTAATTCTTAATTCAATATTTTCGAGATTAACAAGTCAATACAAAAATAATTTGATATTATCTAGTAATATATAAAATAATTTATAAATAATAATTATTATATTATAAGAAATGTACATGTAAATTAAAGAAAAATTATACTAAGCAATGCTTGATCAATTAACAATATATATATTGTACTGTATATATACTGTATATTATAAAAAAAGATTATAAAAAAACTAGTTTTACTATAGTGTTTTATTAAATTTTTAAAACATATTATTTAACAATTAAAATTTTTTTAATTTATAAAAAAATACTTTTACAAATTTATATATTAAATAATTTTAATAATTTTTTATTGATAATTTTTTTATTAAAAATTTAATAATTGTTTTAAGTAAGCTTATTCTTTATACAATATTTTCAAATATATAAATATAAAATTTTATCTTATCTTATTATTTAGTTATTGAAGTATAATAAAATATATAACTTTACAAGTTTTGAACCTATGCATCTAATAAACAATTTGTAAAGAAACTTAAGAACAAAAAAAAAAGTTATCGATCTTATTTCAAGATACAGCAAAAATATATAATATTATTAGCCTAAATATGTTATATAGAGCTTTTTTAAGAATTGGGATTCCAACATACCTGATAATATTAATATTAGAACCTTTTATCAACAGATCAATCCAAGTAATCACTACTGTAGATCTAACAAAGATTAACGTTGCGTGTTGTGAACTAACCATCTGCCTTCTATAGCAAAGATAACTGACGTAACGGAAATATATTAATTAATACTGTAACGGGAAATCGGAGAATCTGTCGCCAATGTTAACAGAAATTCGCGTAACCGTTGCTGGTGATTAAGGATGGAAGGTAAGTGGTGAGGCGTTGATGTTTAACCGAGGTCTTCCTTTATTAACTTTTAATATTTCCATATTTTATACGTTATTTTCTTGGATTACATGAAATAAATTAAATATATGAAATAACAAATATAGAAATAGAAAATAAAGTAATCATGAATGATTAAATAATAATTTTTCACAATGTTATTTTTTTTTCATTGTCCCATTTCGCGACCATTAATTCGACTGGTCGTGCCAGGATCAGATCTCGCGATACTCCAACGTGGATCGATCGCGTGATTGATGGTAGTATCGCTGTTCGTTAGATAATACTCGGCACATAGTGTCTCTTATACACGTATTTCTCTTCTACTTAATGCAGGTACGCGAAAATCACATAACTCCTTAAAAAAACGTACTTTTTTAAATATTATACAATATATCGTAATATTTTCTGTTTACTGACGCATCACACTGAAAATTGCTTTTAGTTGTAGTTGTGATTTTGGATACAAATTTTGTATTTTAATCAGCGCTAGTTAAAAAATTTAGTTAGAACTTTGGCGATTTTTCTTTTTGATAGGTAATTTACGTAAAATTCTGAAATTTTTCATTAAGGCGTGCATTTTCCCCTCAATAATTTTAGCTGTTTTCCATGAAAGTTCAATAAGGTTTGAATAGATATTATTTATACTGTATGTTTCTCCACAATGAAATAAACTAATCATTTTTGACTCGTGGATCTTTTTTTATAACACCAATTAAGTACCGATCATTATGCACATCATATTCATCATACTAATACTTCATCCAAACTTTTTAGGATCACAATGAATTTTCACGCTATTCAGGATAACAATGGATCTTCACAATGTATAAATGTATACCAATGCATGCAATTATCGTCTACTGAATTCTTATTTTTTAGATAATCATTTATAGTGTTACATCAATTTTCAGAAAAACTTTTTTCGAGTTTTTGCGAAATGTTTTTTAATAACCGAGTGAATCAAGAAATTTTCCTTGAATGAGTCACGCTGCAGTTTATTTATATTAAAAGAAGTATGAATTACATTAAGTATGTAGTTTTCATGTCGAATTTGATGGATTTATACGGACAACAAAATAAAAGCCTCCCTTTGGAACTGACGTTATATTTCGTGTTATGAAGAGTTAAAGCTATAAAATCCACCCAACCTTACGAGTAAAAAAAATCGTGCTCCTAATCATTCCTCAATCTCTCATATCCCTCCAATATTCCTCCATTCTTTATATTCAACCCCACACTCTTTCATCTCCTAAACTCCATATACTCATTTGATTAAGAATGGAAGCCTTTAAATACCTCTTCGTTTTGTTCCTTATCATTGCCATGTTCAATGCTGCTTCGGCCGCGTAAGTATTATTTATTATCTTTGCATCTACGCAAAATATGAGACCCATTTTTATATTCAAATTAATCTCCGTATAATACAATCAAAATAGACCGTTAGGCGATGTAGGCGATGTCTCATCTCCTGAACCCATCGAAGGTGACGCTCCATCGTTCCAAAAACGTATGGTTTGCAAAATCATGTGTCCGATGAAGGTCAAAAGATACGTTAGTTCTTATTGTAGATGCCCCACCTATCCTTCCCCGGTGTATGAATGAGGGAATGATACGCGCAGCTTTTAAAATTTTATTATAAATGCGCTTCATAGTGTGCAATAAATGACTTTATTGGTCAACCAAACTAATTACATATCGCTTCCTCAAATTTATCATGCAAATACGTTATCATATAATAAATTATCAGAAATGTTAATATATTTATAAAAACATGTGTTTTTCGTTAGATGCAAAATAGCGAACTATCGCCAGATCAATAATAACACATAAATAATATTAAATATTATATATACATAAAGTTTTACACAAATAATTGCTTCATATTTCCTGCTATTGAACCTTGGTAAATCACTCCCGGTCATCTTATCGCATATATAATGAGAGTCTGAATCACAAATTTATGTGAACTTGAATCAAAGTGAATTAATTCTTCACTCTTCCCCAACATTCAACATTTTACAACACCTCAACAACTGAGTGGCACCACATTCCTCGGCGAATGCCTCAATGGTTTCCACGGTTTCCTCATTCAAATACCCTCTTATACCCTGTTCACACCTTTGGACTAATGCAGGGATCAAGAGTCTTGAAGCACCATGCAGTAATTCAACCCACTCCCCTAACGAATTCACATCTGATAAAGTGCCGGTGTATATAAACTTTAATATGGTTTCAAAGGAGCTAGGTAAGATTCCTGAAAGCGTAACCACTTTTTCTCTGGCTTCAATCATTTGCGAATTCAATAACGCTTTGAAGTAATCTGATCTGGCCGAAAGTACACTGCAATGAACATAAAAATTTCGAATTTCCTTGTTTAAAGAATCATCGTTTTTTACAGAATCTTCAGGAATTTCCAAGTGTATGACAAAATCACTAGTTTCCTTGTCATCCAACACTAATTCATTCGCTTTCTCTTTGCCGTATTCAGCTTCTGGGAGCGATTCGCATATCAAATCGGGGGTCAACTCGACCTTCACATCTAGTCCAAAATTGATTCCCGAATCATCATCCACAGGATTAAATTCATCGAATTCAACCACCGTACTTCTTCTGAAGAGTTGAGTTCTTTGCCATGAGATATTCGTCTCCAAACCACCGCTTAATGACGCACATAATACAAAACCATATTGACCTTCCACAAGCAAAGTTACGTCTTTGCGAGAGTTTACATTATGCGGATAAGATGATGCCGGTTCAAACTCGATCGTTTGTGGAGTAGTATTTACATTAGCTCTCGTTGGTAACGCTGTAATAGTCCACACAATTGACGCATTGTCATCAAATATTGTATGTTGTAACTTGAGCGAGAGTTTGGAGATTACAAATTTTCCCGGTCGATAATCAAATTTCCAGCGTATCTCACCGGGTATATCTTTTCTTCTTTCATATGGATCACGCGCCAAATAGACCCTAAATTCAATTTATTAGTCTATCAATTGTAACAATAGAATTTTATCGAAACATACTAACATATCCCAATCGAATTCCCATTTGTAATAAATGTTATTCCATGAAAGGACTCCCTTTTTCCACTTTTTAATATACTCCTTACCCAAATTTCCATTTTCGTAATACGAATCACGTAACACGTTATAAGACAACCGATGTGTGTATACGTTCGGTCGTGTGTCATCTTTTAACACATGCATAATATCATTGTTATTAAATAAGCCTCCTGTTTTGTCCTGGGTTACTGAAGGCTGGTGAACTGGAGGCATTAATATACCTGTCCTAAATATACTTGTAGGAAAATTAATCCTAAATACTGAAGATACGGATTCTGTTTCGTTTTGTCGACTATCTCCTGTTTCCATGGTTTCTAAATGAAAAGGTGTTGGAATGGTCAAATTTATACGCCAAATAAATTGGTTTATGTAACACAAATCGAGGATCTTGAAATTTGTGCATCCTGCGAAAAAAGAGATCTTTAAATTCAAATTTATTAAAGTATTCTTTAAAAAAAAAATTATTGTAAAATAGTATAATAGAAAATCTCAAACATTAGCGCATTCTCATAAAGTGTGGGTCAAAAATAAATGGACTGATATTTTTACTTTAATTTAATAAATAATAATTTAAATAAGATAAAACTTTAAATGAATATATTTTATAATCTATTTAATAAATACTAAAGTTTTGATTAATAAATTTATTTGAAAATATTGATTTAAAGTTAAAAAAAAAATGTTTTTTTTTTTCAAAAAATCATTTATAAATTATAAATGGAAAATGAAATTTGATGCAAAAAATTTTCAAGAAAATGGTATATAAAAATAAAAATTGTAATCTTATAAAATATTTATTAATCTTATAAAATATTTAAAACTTTTAAAAGCTCTATATCTTAATATAAAAAATATATTTTTTAATTAAATTAATTGGTAAGTAACTTTTTATATTTGATAATAAAATAATTACTATGTTTTGTTATTTTTCATTCTTTTATTTAATAATTTAAAATATTAAAATTAATAATTTTTTTTTAAAAAATAAATTTTTATAAAATTTAAACTCTTTATTAAATAAACTTATATTTTGTGTTCTTAACTGGATTAATATATGTTTTTTAACTTATTGTTAATTAATTATTGAAATAGCATAAAAATTATGATTAATATATTGTTTAATATTTTTTGAATTTATATTATAATCCTCTTTAAAATATTAAATTTTTTTTTTAGTAAAAAAATTTTATATTATTATTTATTAGTATTATTTATTTTTTAAATTAATTTAAAAAATAATATTTTTCATAAAATAAAAAAAACTCTTTCCTGATCGTACCAAAACTACTAAATTAGGAAATACCCAAGAAAACAAAAATTTCGTCTCAAGGGAAAAACAAGGAGGAGGGAGGCCCTCCTCCCAAAC